TTTGTCTGATCTTCTATATCATAAATAATTTCTTGAGATTATTAGTGTGTGAGTTTCGTGTCGTGAGTAGTCCATGACTCTACAAGTTTTGTGTCGAAAAAGATTATTTGGTATTATTGAGGTATAGTTAACACGATGAGTGATTTTCAAATTGTTGGATGAATTAAAAAACTCAACAGCAACAACTACAACACAGTGGGTAAAAAGCATGATGTTCTATTTACGATGATATGACCTTCGAGAGGTCATTGGCGGAAATAAAATTACCCAAAAGGAGGATTCTAATGGCGCCTTATGTTAATGAAGAATCAAACCAGACAAAGCAATGTTTGTCTTGAAAATCACAGTCGAAAAAAAGATGTTGGAGCACATTCGGGATAACAAGATACCGAAAGAAGCATGAGACAGATTCGTGACGCATTTCTCAAAGAAAAACAATATGTGGTAACAAATTCTAGAGAATGAGTTGTTATCAATCTCACAATGCGACATGACGATGGCTCAGCAATTCAATAGGGTCAAGTCAATCTATCGAGAGATTACCAAACTAAATTCAAGTTTGTCATTAGAGAAGCTCAAATGAAGATGATCATTATCCATGGATTCCAACCAGAATATAGAAGCTTTGTTATTACTATACAAAGATAGCTCTCTCAACCCTCTCTTGTAGAGTTTGAAAATTTGTTAGTCAGCCAAGAAGTCATGGTAAAATAAATGGGAGACATCACGTTAAAAGGTGAAGAAGAAGCATCCTACCTAAGTGAAAGTTAGAGCAATAATAAGTCATCTACCAAACGTGGATACTAAAATGATGATAAGTCACCAAGGAATTGCACAACCTGGAAGAGCTCAAAATAATAACAACAAGAGTTATCACGGGAAGATATTTGAAGGTATTTGCTACAATTGGGAAGAAGGGTCACATGTCCAAAGATTGTTGGTCCAGGAAAAAGTCCATTAAAAGCAATGTGACAACTTCCTAAAAAGAAATGAAGTACTATGTGTCATAGAAGAAGACGAGTTAACGCTCATGGCAATAATGGGTGAGCATATCGATTACGAGAATGGTTGGATCATTGATTCAAGATGCTCATACCACATGACTGACGATTAGAGTCGTACAATGGAAGCGGGGTATCCCTCAGAAAAGGAAGTATTACCTCACTTGGACAACATTGAAGAAATTCTACCACAGAAGACGAGGGAGCAAACTGTACACATTTGGTTAAGTGTTGATACGCATGAAGATCCAAGTGACATTGATGTTAACGAGCAAAGAGTGACGCAACCAAGCAAATCCAATAAAAAGGAAACGACACATCAACAACTTAGGTGATCAGAAAGAATTTGAAAGCTAAATCTTAAGTATGCCAACACAGCTATTATAGAAGACAAAGTTAAAGAGCCAGAGACATATGAAGAAGCATCACAAAACTTGGCTTGACAGTGATGGAGAAAAAAATATAATCTTGGACCAAAATCAAACTCGGGAACTAGTATCAAAACTAGGAGATGTCAAAACCATCTCTTGCAAGTAGGTCGACAAAATAAAAGCACTGATTGGATGGAGATTTACAGTAAGACATGAAGATTTACATGAACCAACCAAAGGAATTTGAGAGTGCAGCTAATGCTAATCACGTATACAAGCTTAGAAAAGATTTTTACGGATTGAAGTAAGCATGAAGAGCTTGGTATGGTAAGATGGTTAAATTTCTTACCCAAAGTGGTTATTCAGGAGATTCTTCTTGGCTATATCCCGCCTGGCTAACCTAACCTACCCTAAGACCTCATAGTTAACCTAGATGAGTGTAGATATGCTACGAATGAGGTGAGTATCAGACATCATGAGATGATAAGTATCTAGATAGGGCCAGTATCTAAGAGACTATAAGAAGAGAGTCAACCGTTCAATTAGGACCCCAATTGTGTTAGATCTTAAGAGACACGTGGTTAGAGGGTACAATGCCTTGTAGAAGCTCGCCCAGAGCTACATGACACAACTCGTAATCCCAAAAAGTCGGTGACTCGGATACATTGTACATAGCCATATAAAAAATCGATTAGAACCTCTAAGTAAATTACTTATTGGTAGGAGCACTTGGGAATCGGGTAGCTATTGGGAGCCTTAGATTCGTGTGCTTTCAATTTCATGCGTCTTTTGATGTTGTATTATGTTACTTAGATTATTTGAATACTTCATATTGTATTTAACTTCCGGGAACGTATTTTGTAGTTTGATTGATTTATGAATTTGAATGTATTTTGAATTCCATCTCGTCGCCCTTATTTAACAATCAAAACTTTTTTATCGAGCCTTTTTAAAACTCTGCATTAGTACGTGAGAGTCTATAATATGAAGCCTCGAAAAGCAGATCATTTCAGTATCCTATTGTTGAACGCTATATGCTTGGACGAATGACTTATTCGATGTATATTATGCTATAACATTATTATTCTCGTACGAAAATAATTATAATTGAAATTAAAATTAAAATTTGATAAAATAATTTTTTTTTTGTACATTCAATGTTATAAGTAATGATTGAATTATTTCCTAAAATTTAATATCTCAAAACATAAAAATATTTGGTAAAATGTTTAAAGGATTACGACAAGTCGTACTAAGGACAAGACAGCTGAACCAAACAGCCTCCCTTAATCCATTATGAACCTGTCGGGTCAATGAATTTCCCCAAATTATTGAGGAGCCTTGAGTGGCCAGGACCACCACCACGTGTCGAATATCTATAGGAGAATATTAGCAGGCCCCCACTAGGCTTAATAATGTGGCTATAAACCACGTGGTCCCCTGACGATGTGTAATTTTAGCATTATCATGGTTTTACACGTGGAAATGGTTCTGTTTTTCGTGGGTGAGCTGGAATAAATTCTGACGTGTTCAAATAATTAGAATCTTACAAAAATATCTCTCCATCCCGACCCGTTTGATTTTGAGTTTTATGAAATTTTAATTATATATAAATATGAATTTTATTTTAATTAATTTTTTAAAAAAAGAATAACCTACGACTCAACCTGAAAATAGAGGATTGAGTTATGAGCTTTATTCGGGTTGTTCGGGTCACTAGTCCAACCAACTAAAAATGACGAGTTAAAACAAAACAAAACAAGAAAAGGTGTCAGATTGTCTCTCTTTTATCTCAAGTCCGAGTCCTCCATTATCTTCGAGGCCCATCTTTTCTATTGGGCCTTCTTCAAATGGTTAGCTCTAAAAAATAAAAAATAAAAAAAGAAGGGTAAAATCACAATTTTACCCTCTCACCCGTCATTAAACGGTGTCGGGAGAGAGTAACTTCTCGTTAGCATCGGGAAAAATTATAGGTGTTCGGAGAAAATGATTTTTTTTCTATATATTAATCTTTTTCGCCTTTTTTATTTACTATTTTATATTAGTCTTAATTTAGTACTTTTATTTATTAAGATATAATTTAAAATATATATATATATATATATATATATATTTATATATAAATATGTACTAACTTTTTTTGGCTTCTAATTTTATTGATAAAAATATCCATATTTTTCAATCTTTTTTAATCCAATTTGTCTAATCATTTTAATGTTGGTTTTATATTTTTTAACACAATTTTTTTTACCATAAAAAATATAAAATAAAATAATTTAATTTAATAATAATTGCTCTTCACTTTCTAACATGCCTTAAAATCCAAAACTCTATGAGTCGAAAAAAGATTTAGGCTCGAATGTGAAAGGAAGAAATTATAGGAACCCTAATCGTGACGTCGGGCTAGCATCTCGACATTCTTAAGGTTTGGTGGATTAAAAAATAGCATACTGAGACACTTCGGACAGGTTTAGTCATTATCCATTTGGGGTTTTTACCCGGAACACTTCTTGTTATGACTCTGATGCTCCAAATTACTCTTTTAGCTCTAAATATTCTTAATACTACTTGTTCGAATCTTCGTTTTAGCTTGAATCTCTCGAACCTTGTAAAATAATAAATAAATAAATAAAAATTTGTGAAACTATACAAATAGACTCTTGTACCGTAATGCCACAATCAAAATGCTTTGATACCAATTATTGTAGCAGAAGCGGAAGCAAAATCAATTGTACTTACACACCCACCAATATAAATTAAACAAATAGACATAAAGATTTACGTGGTTCATAGTTTATAAGTGTATCTCTCGCACTCTCACGCTACAAAGTATTTCTTACAAAGTTTCTCTCAATTGTCTTTAGACAAATACAAAATGACAATGACTTCACATCTCAAAACAATACTCGACAAACTTTTATATATGCATAGCAACATTAATTCTGATACATGAATCAGAGCAACAATAATACTCATACGTGAATCGAGATGATTCATGAATTGATCTGGAGAATGTACCAAAATAAAACCATAAACCAACTAGGAATCAAATTACATAAACAAGTGACTCTAGTTTCAATAAATTCAGATGATAAGTAAATTAAAATCAAAATTAAACGAGAATCGTTCATCTCTCACATGCACGTGCATAGCTGATCTTACAACTTATAACTCGATCTTCACTTTATTTCACCCCTAAGTTCTTATTATTCGGTTTCTCTAAGTTACCTTACTAGGATCCACCGAACTTATTTCTTTTTAAAGATATTAGCTTTCGCACATCTATTGCATGGGTTCATTTCCATGGTCGATCAATTTAACATGTAACATACGACCATCACATTTGAGTATACCATCGAAGTAGGTCATAATATTTTTTTTAAAATTCGATTCGATTACCTCTGTACATTAATTTTAAAAATGCTTTATAATACTTATTAGACACTCTGTTAAAATTTTACGTCTAAAATAATATTTATTTTTTATTAAATAATTTAGTATCTACCCGACACAAAATAAAAATTTAAAATTTAAAAATTTAAAAATATTTAATTTTGGAATTTCTTCTTTTTCTAAAGCAAAGCAAACGATTCCCTCAAAAGGGTAAAAAAGGCTTTTTAATATTCCCATCTCTTTCTTTTCTCCATTAATTCCATTTAAACTCCGAGGAGATCGAGAGAGCGCCGTTGCAGACACGAATCTTCATCCTTTGATTCAAAGCTTCAGCCGGTACACATGGCAGCGGCGATGAAGAAGCTGGTGGCAGTTTTCACGGCGGCATTTCTTGCGACCACGGTTGCCGGAGCTCAGACGCACCATGTTGTCGGCGGAGACCGGGGATGGGACGTCGATTCCAACATCGGTTCTTGGTCGGCCGGAAGGAAATTCAGAGTTGGAGACAAAATATGTAAGATCCATTCGTTTCTAAACTGTCTTTTTGCTCCAGAATTTTCTGTTTGGATTCCAAGAAAATGGAAATAGCCGATGAAAATGATCTTGAGTTTATAATTAAGGAATTTTGTCTACATTGTGATTGAGGTAAGCGCAAAGCAAAATCATGAGAACTTATGATCGGAGTGGTTAATATCATACCATTGTGGAGAGTCGAGTTCATCTGACAATGGGAACCGACAATTTTTTTCCTCCACTGCTACACCGAGGGAAAGTGACCCATTGAATTATTGATTATTGATCTTTTATTATTTTATTTTATTTTTTACTAAATAATAATATTTTTTTTTGTTCAAAATATACCATTTTTAAAATTATTATTTTTAAAGAAAAATAATTTAAAGTTTAATTGATTAAATGTGAATGAATTTAAAATAATAAAGATATATTTTTAAAAATAAATTGCTAATTTTTTTTTTTTTTTATTCAATTTGTATTTGTAATAAAGTTGGGGGGGGGGGGGGC